TTGTTTGTATCCAATAAACGTCAAAACGGCTGAACCGATCGGGCCCAAATTTTTTGTGGGACATCTAGGGAGCCCAGGGAAGGTTTATGAATCATCAAAATTTCAAATATTTGTCTCTATCAAAATTCGATCGTCATTAAATTTTTTAAAATTTTGAAAATCCGCGAAATTTTTTGTAAAAATCCGCAAATTATTTTTGTTTAGTTTTACGATGTACACAAAGAGAACATGTTTACAATTAATTTAGAAGATGGGCGCGAAGCGCCCTCTAAGGCTAGAAAGAAGGGCGCGAAGCGCCTTGAATTTCTAGTAATACTATATTAAATAAACAATAGAAAATAATCTCAACTAATTTTAAGAATATATTTATATATACAGAAAGTGAGTAAAAAAAGGGTGAAAAGCGAGATCTTGCAACAATTATAGAAGCATTGTTTTGTTAATCTCATTTCTAACAAATATGTATGAAATTTTGAATTTTTTTAAAAAAGCATTTAAAAAATATTTTTGATTAGCATTCTGATAGATTCTTTAAAAAAATCCGGGAACCTATTTTAACTCAAAATTAGATGAGTAGAAAAACAAAAGTACGGGAATATGTTATTTCTATCACACCTTAAAATTTGAAACAAATCAGATGAGTAGTTTTGGAGAAAAAGTGCGAAATTGAATCCAGAAATCAACATATTTAAATAATACACTTTTGTATGCGTATTTTCCTAATATTATAATTTAGATATAAAAAAAATTGAAAAAAACAAAAATCATCAAAATGATTTTTTTTCAAAAGTAAAATTGTGGATTTTCTTAATTTAATTTTGCGCATTTTCTCCGAAACAACTGATCTGATCTGCATAGGATGTTAAGGTGGTGTGATAGAAATAATATATTCGCGAACTTTTGTTTTTCTTCTCATTTAGTTTTGAGTAAAAAATAGTTTCGCGGATTTTTTTAAAGGGTCTATCAGATTGCCTTTCAACATTTTTTTAATTTGATAAATATCTAATCTATATATAAATTTGGCTTGTCTGTCTGTTTGTCTGTCATTTATGGTGTCTGTTTGTTTGTATCCAATAAACGTCAAAACGGCTGAACCGATCGGGCCCAATTTTTTTGTGGGACATCACGTGACAACAGGGAAGGTTTATGAATGATAAAAATTTTAAAAATATGTTTTAAAGGTTTTTAATTTTGTAAAAAAATTTAAATTCTTGAAAATCCGCGATTTTTTTTTAAATCGGCAAAATTTGTTTCTTCTTTGTTTTAAAATGTAAACAAAAAGAACATGTTCACAATTTAGATAGAAGATGGGCGCGAAGCGGCTTAAAAGCCTAGTTTGTTAAAAATGAGATTACCAAAAAAATGCTTCACCATATGTAAAATCTCGCTATTCACCCTTTATTTGACTATTTAGATATAATAGTGTCCAGCAATAAACCTTATTGAAATAACAATAGAACATTTTCTAGACTTATTTTATATGTGTACATATAAAAATTTGTTCAAAGAATTTTGACTACAGAGGATCGTCATAAGACGTGAAACATTATGTTTAGTATAATTCTTTTTTAATAAAATGTGAAGTTTAAAAACTGATATATATATTTATATATATGAATGAGCGAAGAGCTTCATAATAAAGATTAATAAATGATAAATGAATTATAAATTGATAATATAAATGATGAATGAATAGTATGAACGATGAATAAATGAAAGTGATGAATGCTCCTGTAAGAAACTGAACCCGAGGGTCTAATATCCTTGTTGTAATCTGTAAATATATCCTGGTATATATATCTTTCAATAGTAGATTTGGTAGACTAGGTAGACTAGGTAGACTAGGTAGACTAGGTAGACTAGGTAGACTATGCAGACTAGGTAGGCTATGTAAACTAGGTAGACTAGGTAGACTAGGTAGACTAGGTATACTAGGTAGACTAGGTAGGCTAGGTAGACTATGTAGACTAGGTAGACTAGTTAGACTAGGTAGACTAGGTAGACTAGGTAGACTTGGTAGACTATGTAGACTAGGTAGACTAGGAAGACTAGGTAGACTAGGTAGACTAGGTAGACTAGGTAGAATAGGTAGACTAGGTAGAATAGGTAGACTAGGTAGACTAGGTAGACTAGGTAGACTAGGTAGACTAGGTAGACTAGGTAGGCTAGGTAGAATAGGTAGACTAGGTAGACTAGGTAGACTAGGTAGACTAGGTAGACTAGGTAGACTAGATAGACTAGGTAGACTAGGTAGACTAGGTAGACTAGGTAGACTTGGTAGACTAGATAGACTAGGTAGACTAGGTAGACTAGGTAGACTAAGTATACTAGGTAGGCTAGGTATTATTAAAAAGATTCCTTAATTATTTTATCTTTCATTGCTGGAACATCACACAGACATACACTCCACACTGCAGACACTAAAATAGAATTATTTATGTATATATTTTTTTATTCTATAAGCTTTCAAAATGTTTTACTCGTCGTTCTTTGGAGAACACAAATTCAATAAAACCAAAAGGTCGCACTTTGACATCTATACAAACGCGCAAGTTTATATTAATAGAATTATAGATGACATGTTTTTATATGTTATTATTCAATATTACTTGTATTTGTATGTGAAAGATATTATTTACAGTGTGTACATGATTTCATATTAAACCCCTTATCGAAGCTAGGTAATTCTAAACCTTTAAATGCAGGCATAATGCCGATATGGGCGTTCTACAGCTTTCTATGTAAGTAATGATCGATTAGAACATATTTGCTCTTTGCATAAAGAAATTCACTCCGATCTTTTTAAAATAATGAAAGAAGGCTAAAGTCTTTGCGAATTACTGGTATGATTTTGTTACCTCGTAACTCCTTAAGTTTTGATTTCAGGCCCAAGAGAATATCAAATTAGTTTGATTGCAAGTACGGATTCAAAGTCTTTCTATGGTCGGAATTACTTTCATGAAAATATAAAGTTGCAGAGAGACCCACAAAACATAAGACTTTAATACCGACCTAAAACTGTTTAAATAAAATTATTTTTTGAAATTGGTCGGTTTCTACTAGTCTGCTTTCAAAATGCGAAAAAAATGTGTACACAATATAAAACCTATTTATAAAAACTCACATCTATGAAAACATATTTTACAATACATATCAATGTAAATTATTATAATAAAAACGTCAATGATGAAGATTAAATATTTAGCTATAGGAAAATTTTTTTAAAAATCAACATAAAATCATTTACAATTTAGGATGGATTGTAACAACTTTTTTATTAATTAAACAGGACCCAACAATTTTGCGGAAAATCCACGGAAATTCCCAGGAATCTTTCACAGGAAAATCCGGTGAAAATGTCGACAGCTTTTCCCAGGAATTTCTCGTAACCAATTCCCAGGAACCAGGTCCGAGGAATTTCTTGTAACCCATTCCGCGGAAATTCTCGTAACTCTATCCAAGGAATTTCTTGTAACCAATTCTAGGGAATTTCTTGTTACCAATTCTTCAGAAAAACCAGAAAAAATTTGTAACGAAGAGGTCTTCAGAACCTATTCCTGGGAATTTCCCTGGAACTATTCCCAAGATTTTCTCAAGANTACAAAAAAGAAACAATATCTTTCCTAACAAAAGTTTATTTACCCTTGTCTTCACACAAAACATACTAGTCTTTGTGAAATGCTACAATTTGTGCTTTTATTGCACTTTATTATTCAAGTAATTTACAAAAACTATTAATTTTTGTGAATTGGTGCTTAAATAGTTAGATTCGTACATGATGCACCTGTCAAATGATATAAAATTTATCTATCTAATTATAAAGCTGCCATGCAATAGTAATGCACAAGAAGTTAAAGAATTTGTGAAATTTAGAAAAACAAAAAAGTCTATATTCTAACTCTCAATTAAAATTGACTTTTTAAGACAAATTGTTTATTTACTATAAAAAACTTTTTAATCATGTTGATATTTTTGAAAAAAAAGGTTTTTGGTGGATGTCAAAGCCAAATATTTGTTATTGGACGTGGAATAGGAGTTGTAGAGACGTAGCGCGAGGCACCACGGAGATGATTTTGATTGGCTAGGAGGTAATTCTGCTAATCTGGAGGCTCCGCAGGTCATTTAGCGGGGCTCATGGCGACTCTACATCCCCTCCCTATAGTCCAACGCTGATATCTAGACAACTATGACAGCTATTAAATATTTACTTTAGCCTTATGCATATACAATTATACGTTCTGAAAACTGCAACGTGCTTGTTCCTAGCATAAGTTTCAAAGGAGTAATTGGCCAAATACTGCTCGATTTTTGCATGTCGCAAAGTTAAATCATTAATATTGGCATTAAATTCTTATATCCGGCCATTAATTTAAGTTCTTTTTCTTTCCCAGGAGCACTGAATACTTGTCTCCGACTCCTAACTTATTAAATCGTATGCCTTTGCAACCTGATGTCGTACACCATTTCTGTAAGCGCTATTTCAAGTGACCCTCCATGCAAAGATGACAATGCTCGAATCAAATCGGTTTCCGCTATAAACTTTATCTGATTAAATGTGAATTAGTTATTCATGTTAACAATTTTGAAAACGGATTATTTTCAATTGTGACTTCTCTACACACAAGAAAGCATACAATAATTATCAGA